CCATATCAGGAAGGAAACAGGTCCCTTAATTAAGCTCCAGGGTGCCCCCTCCCTCTGTCAGTTCTGTAAAGCAGTAACACCCCCCACAGCCCCCTGCCCAAAATTCCAAAAACAACACCATGACTTGTTTATAAACAATGCAGACTTCTGCTGGGAATGATGGTGCCCAAATCCAAAACTGTGAATGACCTTTTTTCCCTTTTCCAAACCATACCATCTCCTTTTTATGCTATTTTCTTATTTAAATATTGAATGAGAGCAATTCCAACTTTCAGTAGGGTGGAACCGAAGGAACGAGCAGATCTGAAGCTTTTGCATATCCAACATCAGGGTCAGGCAGCTGACGTTGATTTGTATGCAAACATAAATTTGCCACACATGTCGGAGAATTACACACATTTCCACAGTTAATTAGCATGATGAATAACACCCTAACCATGGACGACAACACACACCAACTGGGATTTGGGAACAAAGGGTCAACACTGTTCTGGGTGACCATCTTTTCCCCCCCTCCTATGTCCCATCTGATATACCAACGCATGTTCATTCACTTGCGAAGGATGTTGTTGGATTCCATGAAAAATTGATTCTTTGCATAAATTCACAGTGGAATGTTTCACCATAAGTTGATGGTCTTGTTATAGGGTGACTCTGGTCGAGAATTTAAAAAGATGCTATCGTCTCGCTTTCGCATTAACAGTGGACTGTTCATTTCCCGCCAAAAAAATAGAATGGGACAGTCCATTATCACTGCGGTTCCACAGCTCAGCTTTGGATTCTTGTCAGTCATGCTTCTGGCGTCAAGAACATCCTCTGCTTTTGTTCATGCCGTACAGCTTGTCCTTCTCATGACCACGGTCTTCCAACAGAAGGCAGGGAGCAAATGTTGCGTGCCTTCATGACCATGAGATTATTGCCAGGTCACTGAAGTGATCCGGGGGGGCAGGGGGGACGCCATGTATAGGGAAATATACCCACCAATCAGAGCAGATCTGCTTCAGCGGCCTGGTAGCAGTAACATGTCATCCGAAATCCAGCTCCACGGCCGGAACAAGCATGGTGCAGTGGTGACATGGGTAATCATCCACTGGTCAGTGCTTCAGACTCCAGAGCAGCTGCTCAGAGTCAGGGGTCGTGGAGTCACTGCCATGGAGTCACTGCCATGGAATGATGTGATGCTCACACATTGCACCGATGGACTGTGTGTTGTCTTGTATCTGCCACTGACTAGAGGAGATAACAGGGCTTTGTTAAAACTGCAACACAACTGCAAGTAACAGTTTTTATTTTTTGGGGGGGGGAGGAGAGGAAATTTAGTTTGAGTTCTCCCAGTGCACATTAGGGGCACTATTAAATCATACATCTAGGGTAAAATATTGACAGAGGAACATTCCTGTGGAAAAACAGTACTTCCTAGGCTGAAGAAGCAAGTGGATTATGGCATATTTCAGCAAAAAAAATTAAGAAAAACAACTATTTCAAAGGTTATGAGCTTTGAATTGGCCAGCCTGCTGCAATGCACAACCAGGGAGCCCCTTTAAATCTAGTCCCCAAGCTAATTTTTGGCAGTTATGGGAACAAGTCCAGTGTGTAAGTTCAGTCTGAAGTGGCATACTTGTTACGGCACTCCATCTGTTATGCAAGATAAACCAAGGTTACCCCCAGGTCCTGGGGGAGAGTAACAGCAGGGAGGAGCAGGAAATAGGTGGGGAGAGAATATTAGCCTGTCTGTGCACCCCCCCCCCCTTAAGATGTTGGTAGGGTGCTACACTTACCCCAGTCACTTGTCACAAACAGGAGCTGAAAGACAAATAAAAGTGGTAAACTTTAACCTCCTCTCGGCAGTGGTGTGTGGCTCCGTGGCTTGCAGGGTAGTGCCTGTGATCGGAAGGTTGCTGGTTCAAATCCCAGGATCAGCAGAGTGATTTTGGTGTCGGGCCCCCAATAGCTCTAGGAGCTGTGTGACCCAGCTTGCTCAAAAATCCATGTTGCTTTGGGGAAAAATAAAATACAAGTGTCTGGGGCTATTTTGCTGCCGTAAACCCTCACTTCATGCTCACAGTGCCAGGTTTTACACCAACGCAGTCAGAGTATTTGCATCTCACTTGAAAATAAAACCACAGAATACCACAAAATTTAAAAAATGAATATATATATATATTTTATGATATTACAGTCCATGATGGTATAGAAGCACATTAGTGATATCTAAGCTTCCGTATACTATTCTATATACAGTTTCTCTTTTTCCATTTCTTATGTTCTTCTATTTATTACAAAGAATGGCAGTCGCTTTGTTTTTTTGTCTGCTGTTTAAACCATGAAATAGTTTCCATTCCCTTTAATCTTCGTGTTTGGCTGTTGATATTAATCACCTTCAACATTAAAGTGTTACGAGTGTGTGGGTGGCCGGACTGGCCTCCGGGGGGCGTGATGGGTCAGGGCTTGCTTAAGCAGCACCCTCCAAGGCCACCATCTCCTTAATCACCGAGAACATCCTCTGCTCGCAGCCACCGTGAAATGAGATTCATAGCATGGCTGGTCTCGCAGTGTGCACTGGCCTCTGATCTCTCCGACACTGGATGTCACAGCAGCTGCAGACCCCACTGGTACCTGGCATTTTTGGTTTGTGGTCTGATCGCGACACTGGATGTCACAGCAGCTGCAGACCCCACTGGTACCTGGCACTTTTGGTTTGTGGTCTGATGGGACAACCTAGATCACCCCAACTTTTCTTTTTACCTCTCTCATTTTTATCTCTAGTTTCCCATGTAGGTTGATGTATCGTAAGTGGTTAAGCTAATTACAAGATAATGAGCCTGTATGACGAAGCTCAATTTCTTCCTAGCCGGATAACTTGTAGGATTTAAGAAACCCCACTTTAAATGGACTTTATCTTCATTCAATTACATTTAGCCCAGACTACCTTAACTTGTCAGATTTATCTAGCTAACAGAGAAATCTTGATTTGTGATACAGACCCGCTGTCATTGATTCATTCTTTGTTTTCAGAGCTCACATATAGTTCACTGTTCGCTTCTCCTCCGTCTCATTTTTCCCCCTCATTCTGCAATTCGCCGCACATCAGTCTTCATCTCTGGTAATTGCTCTCTTCCCATCCTTTTTCCGTTGTTCTTGGGAGCAGTGATTTGAAAATTTTATTAGAGAACAGGGCCGTCTGTTGCCGTCTGCTGCTGCGGAAAAAAAACAATACACGATGCCCCCAGAATTTAATTTGAAATCCTGTGAACTGCAGAGAAATTTGTGAACCTGCTCCTATAATTTTTCATTTCCAACAATATTAAACATCATTAAACCGGAAAATCAGGATGCATGACTTAGAGCACTAGCATCATTATGGGTGTTAATTTTTTGCATTACATGGATGGATGGATGGATGGATGGATGGATGGATGGATGGACATAAAATGAGTTGGCCTCCAACAAAATAAAGATTGTACTTTGAGCCAGGAGTCAGACTGCAAGGTTCTTCACTGCATCTTCAGAATATCTCTTTCTAACTACGTTTAGAAAAATGGACAGACATGGCTGCAGGAATCGGATTAGAGCGTGACACCAAAATCCATCTCAACAAGCGCCACTTTGAAAAATTGAGCAAATCGCAAGTGCCTTGGAAATAAACGGTTCTTACGGGCAAAGAGCCGGGTTCTGTCATCGGCGGGGGATTTCCTCTCTGCCGCTTCGACTTTGGCTGGGCTGGGCCCGTCTCTGCTTTGGGGGTGAGATCACCCCTCCCCCCCGTTAAATGCATGTGCTTCTCGTTCATAGACATTGTTACTTGCAGAAGAAGCCTACCCGGGTCCCCCACTCCTAGCAGGAATTTTCAGGTTCTAGGTTTGCATTAAATAATTAAACTATAATAGCAGCATTATTCTAAACTTACGACCTCTCAATTTCCAATGCAGATTAATATACTGGAGGTACTTGCTTAAGATGCGTAACAGAGCCAGAAGCTAGTAAAAATCAAAGCTGAGGTCTGTTAATTTTTAGGGAAATTAGAGGTAGCTGCTGTGTGGTTCTGGCTTTGGAGGGTTTTTTTTGTCTTACATGGTGGGATATGAATACAAACACACACACACACACAAACATATACATACAAGAATCAGGCTGGTGTTTAAATTTGGGGTGTATAATTGGTGTCCCATGGTTAGTTGCTGGTGCGGTGATGTCCTGGGCCTCCGGCAAACTGGGCCGGGGTTCCGTCCTCCATGCCAGTCTGGTATCACTGTAGCTTCCCTAATGTCTAGAACCGTGCCGGCTTCTCCTCCGTAGAGCTCTTGCTGGTCAAATTGGTGTCCTTCTTTCAAGGACGCCAGCTTCTCTGAGGTTCCAGTACCTTCCCTAATTAGTGGCTTCCAGTCACGGTCGATTAGGGACGGAGCACTTGTGTGTGTGTTAGTAGTCAATGTCATAACCATGTGATTGTCGTGGAGTGTGTGTGTTTTGTTATCATGTAACTATGAGTGTCGTGTAAATTGTTAGCTTCCCTGGCTACGTCTCCGCTAATATTAAACAAGTAGCGGCTGTCAAAAAAGATAGCAACTTACGTTTTAAAAGAGCTGTCATCTCCTTTATTAAAATGACTCGCCACGATACGTTTATTTGCGCTCTGTATGTGGGTCTGCTGCACTGAAAACGTTCTGCGCCTTATGGGGATCAGCGCGACGTAAAACAAACATGATGAAAATTTTAGGGTAACACTTTACTTAAGAGGACACAAAAAACTTGGTTGCTTGGTTACTACTCAAGAACAAATCATGAACAAATATAGTTCCTGCAAGAAAAAAACATGAATGATCATGATTACTGATGAACAAACAATGGAATTACTATGTAACTAACACTTAGTTACTGGTTAATTAATACATTATGTAAACATGTACTACTACATTACATTTATGCCCCCTCAAGTAGTGTTACCAATTTCCTTATAATTTCCTGTATTTGTTTACATGTGTTTTCCTTCTTTATCATAGGTTATTCAGAAGAGCTTGTTGTCTTCAAGGGAAACCTCAGCCTGAACTTTTTTTCTGTGGTTCTTTTTACATCATACATAAATAGTCATTGCAATATTGACGTTGATCGAAAGGTCAGATAACAATGGAAAAATAAACTATCAGCTTGTTCTGCAAAGCACTAAGATTGGAAAAGTGTAGAAATCTGGGGAAGAGGCACATGAACCAATTTCCGTTGATGGCTGAAAAACCAATCATCATCTCCTGAAAGCATCACTGGACATTATGAGTTTACAGGGCAATCTCAGTAGCCCCTTCACCCCTGAACCTCAGGACAATGAAGGTGGAGAGACCAAAAACAACAACAAGCCAGCATGTTTTGTATCCCAGGGTGATACCAATGCCAACGCCATCCAGGTGGAGGTTACAGGCTATGTGGGCACTCCACCTCCGCTGGTATCTCAGAGTGACAGGCAAGACAAGATTGACAGCTGGGAAATGGATTCCCCAGTTGATGACCCTGACCTGGAAGAGTTTGAGCTGCTAGAATGCCAGGAACTTGAGGCTTTCTTGGAAGCAGAGATGGAACATCATGAGAAAGCAGATGAGGCTATGCCAGTAAGTGAACTACTTTCTGGCCAAAACATTGTAGAGTTTAACACTGCTACTGCTGAAATTATGAGTGATGGACAGAATGACGCACATGAAGAAGACAAAGCAACCTCAGGTGGAGGAAGGTCCATATCGCACTTCCATTCAGGGAATGATGCTTTGGTATCTCGCCTCTCTGCTTCCATTTCTGGGGAAAGCACTGGACAGGCACTTGCCACAGACTCCCAGGTTACTTCAGTTAAACTGAACTGGGCCGCACAACCCATACGCACTACCTCAGCCAAATTTGGAAACTTACAGCGACCAAGTAAGTCTGTTGTCCTCTGTGGAATGAGCATGGTGCAATCCAGCAACAACAATCTAAACAGGAACTCCTCTACTCTATCTCAGGAACCTTCCCAGGATGCACCACTGGAACAAGCAAGCCATGGATTAAAAAGAGGCCCTGCTGAACAAGACTCTGGAACACTTATCAATGGTGCGGGCAAATGTCAGCAGAAGATGATGGATACAAAGGAGAGAAAGCACTTACAACAGCAGAACACCCAAGAAAAAGAAGGTGGTGAACATAATGCACGTAAGAAGATTTACAAGCCAGGATACGGTGTGTCCTCTGACCCAACAACCAGTGAAAGGGTACAACTAAGTCAACAGCTACTAAACCGCATATCCTGCACTGAAACAGATAAGGGACTGTTTGCAGGTCGTTTTGTTGTGGAAAGTCAATCCTTGCACCTAATTTCCCAGTCTCCAGAAAGATCTAGTCACAAAACAAATGAAACGGTTGCTGAGAAACCAGAGCAAAAAACTCATCACCAAGGAATGTCCAGTCACACAGAGCCTAAAACTGTTCAGAAAGAGCACTCAGGAGATCATGAGCAGAGCACAACTCCGTCCAGCCTGGAGAACACGATGAACCTGACTCCGAGGTCTTGTGACAGCCCCACATCTGCAATGAGCCATTCAACTCCCAAGACTATAGGGTCACCAAAGAAGAGACTCTTATCTCCTAGCAAAGGTGCTGGTTTTCGTATTTCTCATCCAGATCTTGACAATGATCAACAGGTGCTCATGAGTGGGCTGAAAGCCCCTTCCAAGGTGTGTGTCAGCAGTGGCATTCCGAAACCAATCCTTCATCATCCATCTAAAATAATGGAGAAGACTGAGCTGGAAAACAGTAATGAGAGGTCCCCTCCACCCAAGCCCAAAAATGTTCGCCCCAAGATTATCACATACATACGCAAAAGCCCTCAGGTCAAACCACATGGGTTGGAGGCACCATATGAAGTCTCCACTCTACCCACAAGGCTCACAGCTTACACCAGCTCCCCATCTACCAAGGATTCGAAAGCACTTGTAGACCCCAGGACCTCACCAGTGCTCAGTGCATCCAACCTGCTATATGACAAGTATCGACAGGAGATGCAGAAGACACGCCTTTTTCCGACAGGACTTATGGTCTCTGGAATCAGACCTCCAAGCCATAACATCCATCCCAAGTTGACGGGGAAACCTGAGGGCTTCTGTGGAGACCTGCCTGAGGTGAAATGGGGCAAGGGAGCGGTTTATACACGTTTGTGTGTGACTGTATGATTCGGCTTGTTTTAATTTCAAGGTTGTAAGATTAAGGACTCTGTCCTATGCCACTGGCACCTTCCAGACGGTATTATAACGCTCATGAGAGTTTTACTTGCACAAAATTGTTCTGCAGGCAAAAGAAAAAATGATTTGTTCGGAAAGTTAGCCCATCAGATTATAGAGGAGGTGGGTCCAAGCAGCTAGAAGAATTGGGATAAACCAATCAGATGTCTTGGTCCTGCCACCTCTAGTTGCTTGGACCGACCTCCTCTACAATCCGGTTATCTCTCTTAAACAACCATTTTTAATTCTGCCCTCAGAACAGTTTCGTGAAGCTTCTTCACAATATGATGACCGTTTCAATAGTTTCTAACAAAATCCACCTCTCTGTACAGCGTTCCAATATTTAGCAAGTCTTGACGGTTACTGTATGTGCTGTATTCACTAGAGTTTTGATAGTTTTGATGGTACTAGCTAAGATATTAATTAAGAAAATTAAGAAAATAAAGACGATATAGCACAGTGTCAGGGAGACCAAAGCTGCAGCGTGTCTCTCTTTCAGGGGGGCAGAGATGACGTTAACCTTGGGGCTGCCAAACAGAAGGACATGGCGGCCTCTCAGTTCGGCTGCCACGAGGCTGCAGGTGTGTTCCGTGCACCGAGGGCCCTGAGGCCACAGCTGGGCCTTGGAGCTGTCAACCGGATCCCATCCATGAAGAACCGGATGCTCCTGGCTGGTCAGAAGTCTGCTTTAGTCGTGAGCCAGCCAGTGCAGGCAGTCACCCCCATTTCCCATGCTCACCAGGACCCAGCAGGTGAGAATATCATACTCATTTGCAGCACTCCGTCCAAATTTGGTAAATAAAAAAAGATTGATCCATTCCTTTTGTTTTCTCATGAAAGAGTCATTTAAGTGCCCATGTGGTTCAGAGAAATGCTCCTTTCCGAGGAGCTAATCAGAATTTAGTCTGGGTTTATCAGATACTGAGACTTCAAGCAATTCTCCAGAGGATTTTCCCTGCTCCAGAAATGTAAGCTTTCAATGAGGGAGGAAAGACGTGCAGAGAGAGTATGATGCACCTCGGCAGCTGGAGGCCGCATGTGCGCTTCTGTAATTGAATAGATAATCTCTACAGAGCCTGGCACCTTGTCAGGGGCTCGCGTGCTGTCTGTCTCCCTGCCCGAAAACAAACCACAGATCATGAAACCAGAGATCACGGAGAGGAACCTTCATACCGCTTTCACAACTCATGATTGATCTGTATGAGTTGTACTTTTTTGCTTGATGTCACACTTACCTTTTCCTCCTAAATGCACACCAAAGCTCATTCACGTTTCGACTGGCTGCTCCCAAAAAGAAAACATGAAATGGACAACAAACACAAAAATGTTAACACTGTAGCATTGTGTGTTTGTGTGTTTGTTTGTTTGTTTATTTGAAGAAATTCAAAGAAAGGTCTTTATTTTGTCTGAACACCTTTGCGTCACTTCATGACTTTTTATCAGCCGTCCCTTTTGCACACACACACACACACACACACACACACACCCATTTGGCATCACACACATCTCTACGCTGTTAGCGGGTTATGCACCCTAATAAGTCCTCCTAATGCATATGTATTCATCCTGATCTTGGGCCTCAGGGTACCTAGAGCCTTTGAAGTGGAAAGCAATTAACATTTAAGTACCGTTGGTTAATTCCTCTGGTGGGATAACCCCCCCCCCCATTTGGGGTGACTAGGTTGTGTTACAGCCAGTGTTACACATCACTACACCCATCCACCCCCAAATAAACAAGCATGAATAACACGTGACACACTGTGCTGGTTGCCGGAAATGACCTTCCTCTGTGATGCTCTTCCACCGTTGGAAGGCGATGGCTGCATGGATAGGCCCCGAGGTCCCTCACAGTTGGGATGAATGAAATGACCATCTTTGCCTGTTCTCCGTAGAGGTTGTGTCGTTGTAATTTGGTCCCGGGGACTTTGGCCTGGGCTGAAGCCACGCCGACCGGCGACTCCCGGCGGTCCGCTGTGCGCCAGCCGGCCGGCCCGGCAGCTTTGATCCGGCTCGCCGCAGGGTCTCAGGTCTTGAAGGGGAGCGGGGCGACATCCCACCCCACCAATCTGTCCCTGACTGCTGTCGCTGGGCCCTGGAATGAAGAGAGAGGCTTTGATACCATTGGAAGGTTATAGTGCCCACATACCAGCCTATAGTAATGCCGCAGGTTGGTAGCCAGCCTATATTTGGTTGGTGCCAATTTCCAGCCTATAGGAGGGCTGTGCTGGCTTCTCTCCAGCCAATCGCAGGGCTTTACAAACTGGTCTCCGCTCAATAATGGGGCTTTACTGCCTCCCTGCCCTTGTTGTTCTCATTAATATACTGCATGCATTTTTTTAAAACCTATTTCTTAAGAGGGGCATCATCCACACATTTCACATCGCAATACTAATGATCATGGCCAATACATGTATGTTTGTTTTATTCTGAGTTTCAGTTTGAAGTTGTGAAGCTGCTCTGTAATTTCTACTGTTGTTTGCATTTAAGTCTCATTAATTTCACAGTGAGTCACAGTTCCTCTGTTAAACATGGTTTAAAGTAGTTAAGGGTTTTTTGCCCGCATTGTTATTTTTTGTGGCGATTACAATTGTGACCGCAACAGCGTAATCGGTCAGCACGGCAACAGTGCCGATAGGTCAATGACCTTGCCTCCCTCTTCCTTCACAATCTCCCTCCAGGTCAGGAATCATAATCACCATGTTCTAGAACAGAGGTCGGAATGACAGGATGATGCATGAAAAATTTGGGAGCCACTGACCTGTGACCTGGAATTGAAATTTTATTGCACCCCCATCTCTCTTTCTCCACACCCAGATGAATTAAAATGGGGGGTGGGGGGCAGCACAGAGGGTCGGGGTTGACATTCATCTTTAATGATCTTGACCTTATCGGGGAGGAAAGATGGGCCTCAATGTCATCAAAGCCCTAGACTCAGGACTGTGGGGGAACATGCAGGGTTTGATCGATGGGTCTGGTGGGATGTAGGTTTCCTGTAGAACTCTTTAATTTGTCCCATTATTCACTATTCTTGTGCCACCCATGAATTTAAATCTTAGTAAAGCCAAGTGGCTTTTGATGGTGCTTTTGAATTTGGGGTAAAGTACTTTAGGTATTTTATCAAACTGACTCCCATTAAGATTATTTAGTTTGAATCACACATTTGTTTAGTTTTTTTTTCCATCTTTTCAATGAGGTGCTTTTTCATTCCATTCATGCAACCCTTGAAGTTTTTCTCCGACACGGGGGGGAATTCAAGGACTTTTTTTCAGCTGGGTGTCATAAGAGGAGTCATAATCCATACAGAGGGGCCAGTCTTATAATTAGTGAATGACATGGTTTGAATCAGTGAGTGACAGGAGACAGAGCACTCCGGGGACCAATCAGCTTTCAGCCCTGTGCCCCCTCCCCTGTATACACCCCTGTTTCTGTAGTTCACAATAGGTGTGTCATCCTGGAGATATGAGAATCAGGTCTCCCTTTCAGATTGTAAATCTCTTCTATTCTTTTGTTGCACGTTGTTCGTCACTGGCCGTTTGATGTCTTCATTTTTTTATTTAATTCTTTTAATTCTCCTTGGCCCTCTTCTCCAGCATTGAAAGGGTGAGTTTGTATGGCGCTCTTTGATGAGGAGTGTTAGGTCCCTGGGGTTAGGGTCTGTCTGTCTGTCTCTGCCTCCGTTTTTATCTCTCTGATCCTTGGCCCAAGTGAGCCTCAGTGAGCACTATAAAGGCACTGAGATACCTGAGGTACCACTTTTGAATCTTTCATCTTCTCTCGTCTCACATGCTAGGCCTCACCTGCCTTCCTTAGATTTGTGATGTGATTTTATAGCTGGCATCTTTCAGTCCATCAGCCAGTCGCCATTTTATCTTTGTGTGCCTGTTTATAGGGTCTAATTGTTCTCTGTGTAACAGCCTCAACATTAAACTCCGAAGTTTCATTTGCCTGAACCAAAGAGTTTGATGTGCAACAGGGACGCTCTTCTGCTTGCGTAATCATTCAGCCTCTGTTATAAGTAATAGGGCGGTGTTACGAATCACTGCAGATTGAGATTTCCGAATTTCTGTATTCCTGTGATATATTGGCTATTAGCAGTCGCCTGGCAGACACTTGAAGCTTGCCTTGTTGCCACCCTGAGACAGCCAGGAATGCTTAACATTGTCCTTTTATTAAAACCGGAAAGGTTTATCTTCTGCACTTCCTGTTTGTTTTTGGGAGGAGCCAGGTGCGTTGCTGTGGCAACAGAAGCTGCAGGAACAGGGTTTAAACCAGGACATTGAGTCATGCACCCGACAGCACACTATTAGCATAATGTATATAAGCTTGAATTGGCTGGATATCCTCAAACTTTTCATATTCTAAAATAGCGTTTCTCGACCCGTTCCTTAGGGACCTCCAGTCAGGACACACTTTTGTTTCCTGCCAGTTCTCTGCCCACCTGTACCAGGTATTCTGTGTTCTTGATTGCTGGATTGTTTGCTTCAGGTGCGCTGGGAGCTAGGAGAGAGCAACACTGTGGACTGTCTGGAGGTCCCCAGGGACTGGGTTTAGAAACACTGTTCTGTAACCATTCTGTCAGCTGTTATACAAACAGTGAGCGTATCATTACAGAGACAGCACCAAGTGTTGCAGATCTCTCAATAATAAATCCGGCTTCCCTGTAATGTTCTCTACTTCCAACACTATAGCCTACTTATCCTCACTGTCTGCTAAAGACCCCTGACTCAGCTTCACAAGTTGCATTTTTTAATGCTCACTGTAATTATTCATGTTGAACCTGCATCCAAGCTTCTTACAAATGAAATGATCTCCCCTTTATCTGACTCACCAGGAACAGCCTTTCAATGGAAAATGGTATATTCAGTTTTTTTTTTTTTAATTATATAGCATTTTTGTCTTGCGCTCTGGAGCCTAAGTGTGCTCTGCAAGTTTGGTGTGATTGCCTGTGAAAAGGCTTTTTCTAGCTTCAGGTCACAGCATTTAAATGAGGGGTTAGTGGCTGTAAAAAGGGGAAAGCTGTGTGTGTTTTCATGGTGGGCGAGCTGCAGCATATGGATACTGAGGAGCACTGCATGTTCTTGAGAAGAAGATTATCGCTCCCATTTTACAGGCGTTTTACCTGCTTTTTCAAGATGCCACCAGCTGTTCCAGAGCCCCAAACATTCAGAGACATTAGTTCTAGAACTTCTGATAAGAGAACCCAAGTGTCAATGTAACTGTCATTCTGTTCTTTTTCTTGTTGCCCCTCCCCTAAAAGATCAGAAGAAGCCCACCCCTGTGCCAGCCCCCAAGTCCTTTCTGCACAAACCCGGGCAGTCGGGTCTGCGTCCCCCTGGCTATTCCCGCCTGGCACCTGCCCGTCTGGCTGCCTTTAGCTTCGTCCGGAGTGCCAGCATCTCATCTGCATCCAGCAACCAGTCAAACGACAGCACCCGCAGCGACCCCTGCCGCCCTGTTAATCGTAAGTCTCTATCCAACCCCCCACCCAACCCTTTCTCCCATCCGCCAGAAGACTGTCAACATAATACCATGTTGAACACTGCTGGCCGGATGCCCGGGCGTCCCCTGTTTGCGTTCTCTCGTGCACTATGCTTGTTAATGAGCTTTTAACAATCTAGCCGCGATTTGCATGTCCAGACAAAATCAAATCTAATCTAACATTTTAGAATTATTATAGAAAGTTAGAAATGATAAAAAAACACATATTGAATTGTGCAATAACCAAAAAAAGTATTAAACAAAAACATTCATTTGTTGAGGGGCAGGGGGTGAGGCTGCTCTGTGGGCTGAGACGGGACTCAGAAGGTTGCCAGTTCAAGTCCCGTGCTCAGCAGAGTGATGCCCCCATTGGGCCCTTGAGCAAGGCCCTTAACTCCATTTACTCCAGGGACTGGCTGACCCTGCTGTCTCCTCTACATCAGTGGCCTCCTGGGATCCTTTCCCATCTGTCCTGAAGGAGCTCCCACATATGCTGAGCTCTCATTGGCTGCTTTTCCTTCACTCTCTGGTCAAACTCCTCCAAAACAATCTCTATTGTGTTTAAGTCAGGTGGCCAGGTCATATGATGCAACACTATCACTCTCCTTTGTGGGTGGTTTGGTGTGTCCAAACTTTTAACTGGTACGGTACGTTGCTGATGAATGTATGTTTTTTTAGGCTAATAACCACAGCGTTCGCTTACAAGGTGAGTGCTGATGTCCCGTGCGCCCTCCCCCAACTAAGCTGCTCTTTACTGGAATCGATCATCCTGGGAGTCCCTTGTCAACAAGCTGCCTTACGTCCCCGAAGCTGGCTCTGAGCATGTGACCATGTGACATGCCACCAAAAATTCAATTTCCTAATCGAGAAACAGCCCCATTAATCCCTTTGCCTGCCGCAGCTGTGCCACAACATCTCATTATCTCTGTGGTGCCACTTAGCTAGAGAGTCAGCTATAAACTGTGTTACCGCTGATATGAATGTCTGCTAAGTACCACACAGAGAGCTCAAACTCGCTGTTGACAAAGCTAATTTATTTACATAGTGTAACATCATAATAGGTAGGCTATAGATGCTTGAATATATTTGTACTTAAAGTTGCGGAAAAGGCAATTCTGCTGCATGTTAAATGTTCATTTATTAAAATATAATTTATGTCAGTTTTTCTGTTAATCTCAAATCTAGCCTGGAAGTCTGGAGGAAAGAGGATAGATTACTGATTCTCCAGTATCTTTACAGACTGAAGGTTATGATGCAGGATCGACACATTTTGCTGCTCTCTGGTTGGCAGTTGGCAGTCACCTGACAGATTTAGTGGGAGGTACTTGCAGAGTCCCTAGCTGAGGTCACCATATGTGACCTATATCAGCTATTGGCAGACAGCCGCAGACCAGCTACACCTTGCTCTCACTGTAGAAGTCTGTTTTCCTACTTACCACTATATGTGCGATTTGCATTTTCACATCAAAGCCAGTCACTCCTTTCCTTTTGGATCAGCGATTATCTCTGCAGGATAAAAAAGCTCTATTTAAATGATCCAGCCCCAGGGGGGCAAGAGATAAAAAAAAGTAATATTTCACCCTGCCTTTGACTTCATCTGTTCCTGGTGCCTCTCTCCATCTACGTCAGGGTGCAGACGTGTTACATAAGCCGAGCATAAAATGTTGTGGATATTAACGTTTACAAGCCGTTAACAAATCGTGAACATAGTCACTTAAACCGCAAACCTACCTTAAGTGCATAGAGGTGGGCTCCATTTTGAATTGCAGTGCAGTACCTTGCCATTCCTCTAGGTGGTGACTGCTGTTTTCACTGTGGCAACAGAGGACCCCGTGACTTATCACAGTAATTCACTTGAATAATAAATGTGCTCATGTAAATCAAATGACAGGGCTTGACTGCGGCTTTTACGTCAGCCCGCTTTGGGACTTGCTGACGGGACGCTGCCAAGATCTCAAATGAGGCAGCACTGTAAATATAAACACCAGCTTATGCTTTATTCTCAGTTGTCAATTATTTTAACACCGTGCAATAAATATTAGTATCCACCCATTCATCTAACTGCTCATTTAGAAGTATTAGGGATTTAGTAAGTATTACTGCTGTATGTTGAGTTTTGTTAGTGAAATTAATCTGCTTACAGTGAAGATGTTTTAATGAATTGGTGCTTTATTTTCCATTTGCACAAGGTATTAGTACATTGGAATGCTTACTTTCACATATGCTGTCATCTCTCTTTTGAGACACACACACACACACACACACACGCACGCACACAGTCAGGCTGTTTATGTAATACCCTGGAGTGTTATGTGCCAAACACATGTGACGATTCTGCTAAAACCGGGGCTTGAACCAGCAACCTTCCCATCACTGGCACAGTGCCCTAACCCACTCAGCCACACGCCACCCTCCCCATCCCCCTGCCCCCTTGCGGTTCCTCTTGCTTTTAACAATTTGTCAGTCAGATGCTCTTCTTCAGCCGCTCAGATGACATTCATCATTGTATGTCATCGCTATCAGACAGGCCTGCTTCACCGTCACGTGAGGTGAATCCCTTAAGTGTTATTTTACCATTTTGCTGAGTAAAGTGATTCTGAAGTTCTGCGTTCCACTGAGACCGATGGCCCTACGTGTGACAGGCGATAAATCAGGCCACGGCGATAGAGTAGCAGCATCTCCCAGGGGGTAAGCGTGTTCGCATTGCGGGAGAGGAGAAAACCGCAGAAACTTTTATCATCTCTGCTGTTTCAGCTGCAGTTGGTAGAATTGACCAAATCGGTTCCTAACCCTTTCTGTTGTTGTGAATATAAAGATTATTAATAAATGATTCTTCTAACATGCTTTCTGTTACTCTTTAATGGTACCATTACGTTTTCTCACTGGGGATTGAATCTTTTATGATTCAATTATACATCAAGATCCAGAATGAAATTGGAATGTTCAGAAAACAAAAGTATTTAAGCAATAACATGCTCAAAGTCATGCAGTTGTACTCCAATATATTACAGGTGTTTTATACAACAGTTCATCAAGTGGCATTTATAAGGTAACAGTAATAAGCCCCAACAGAGATTTTTTTTTTTGATTATTTATTTAATAGTTTATGAGCCTCTGCAAAAAAAAAAAAAAGTTCTAACCAGCCAACTGTTGACTGTTGCCAAGCAACACAAACATCCCAATGCAACACAGCTCACTCTCTCCCAACTACTTTCCATCATTTACATTTGACTAAGTAACGGAGTGATACATCTTATACTATAACAGCACTCGCAGAATGCGTCTTGTCCAGATTTCTTGGTCGGAACTAACTGTTGTATAATTGAATTTGAGATGAATTTATAAGAAGTAAAATCAGTTACAGCATTATAAAGTAAAGCCTTACAGCAGACATGGGGATCAGTGACCTCACAAGGATTATTGAATCGGCTTGATGCCATTTTTCTCAGTTTGAGCTTCCGGAATCCTCATTCCATACATTTATTTATACGTATATGTTTAAATATGATGTGTACTTGCGAGACAAGCATGTTTCACTGTTGCTTTGCCACTTCATGTCTGTCGGGGGAATTTTTTGCCAGACTCAGTCATCTGGGGTTCATGCAGCCAGTAGATCCTGCTGCAATGAATCTGGGGCACCTGACTATTAACCGCAACAAAATTCTGTCATCTTGACCACACACTTGTGCTCCATCAACACATGGAGTTAAACTTCTAGATGGTACAGAAGACGTCATGAGGGAAGGATTCAGGGTGAGTTGGGAAACAGCTTTGCTTAAAAATATTTGGCTTTAGATTTTGTTAATTATAATCCTAGGCTGCTTAATGCTCTTGGAGACTTGTAGGAAACACGTACAATGTGAATGTCATTTTCCATTAACTCCGCTATCCTTCAGGAGACACTCAGATGGACATTGTTGTCTATGGTAATCTGATAGAGTGTGAGATAGATGGGGTGGTTTTGAATCAGTCTGGAGCACTCTGAGGAAGAGGTCAGCCAAGACTACAATAGGGACTGACATGTTATGTCTGACTGCATGAAATGGTTTACATTAAGTGGATCTCTTTTGCGCTTGCTGTTTACTTGCACAGAGGATGTGTCTTGTCAGAAAATCATGCATCATATCTGTATGCTTTAGGGATTCATAGATCAACAATCTGTTTCGAAAAAGAGTTTTTTATGGCTATATGTATTTTTACTGTCAAGACGGACGTGTTTTCTCTGTTAGGCACCAGAAAACTAAGTAGCATTTATATATATATATATATATATATATA